AGCAAAACATCATGTGATTAGGAAACAAAAGAAGAGATTATACCGTTTCTTCCCATTGGGTGGAGTCATCATGTGATCGACCACCCATCTTCGTCCATCTACATCTATACCCATTTGCGCCAAGATCCTCTCCACTTTCTCGAAACCAAGTACTTCCATCTTCATTAGTCCCAGTCTCACTAACATTTTCCTTTAACAAGTTGATGCCCATATCTTTCTCATTTGCAATGCCAGTATCTACACAAGCCAATCATTCAGCAAATTGTTCAAAAAACAATTCACTTTGAAATCAACGCAAAACCCAATCCAAGAAGCGTGAAATTACCTCGCTTCGGCGGCGTATCTCGCGACTGTGGACCGGTGTTTCTCGGCGTACATCTCGGATAAAACTTCTCTTGTTTCGTACCAAACCGAGACCTACAGCATTAATTTCAAAAAACAATTAAAAATTAAAAACTCATTAAAAAAATTAAGTGAAATTGATAGTAAAATCACAGTTGAGGGCAGCGTCATACTGGTGAGAAGGAAAAGGCAATGCAGGAATGGCTTGGAATCGACTTCTATGAGAGCGTTTCTCCTCGGGTTTCTCAACACTATTACCCGACCCGGACGCTCTCCTAACTACTGAATCAGAGCAGCAGCAACTAATTCGACTCACCCGTACTCCGTTACCGTCGAGGAACAACCTCCCCCTCCGCTTCTTCTTCCTCGAGTCCAACCCATGGCTATAGGCGTGGAGCGGAGAACTGCTGAATCGGCTGAGCTTGAAACCGAGGTGAGCCGTAAAACCACTAGAACTCGCCGCCATTACTTACGAAAATGCCATCCAAGAGACAGCAAGTGTGGTTTTTGAAGTGATGGAAGTAGAGAGTGGAAGCTTCGACTTCTAACAAATAAAATAAAATTAGAAAAGGTTGGGGCAAAGGAGAGAATATCGGGGGATTTAAATATAAAAAAAAAATGTTGGTGAGACGTTTGCTTGACGAAGGATTTCTAGAGAGAGAAAGGAGGAGAGGAGGAGAGATGGGAGCGGTGGGCGCTGGGTGAGTGAGTGAGTGAGAGAGAGAGAGAGAGAGATCAGATCGGCGATGGCTGCGAATCCTGGGATTTAATCATACACGTGACTAGACAGGTCCCACCTTTGTGCTTCGTGATCCCTTCTTCCTTTCTCCTTTTTACACCTGTCTCTTCTTCAGCCCCCACGCTTCTTTCTTCTTTCTTTGTACAAATTATAGTTTTAAATTAACTCAATAATTGGTTGATTCAGAGATCCATTATTAATGTTGTGGATGATATTCAGTATTTTTTTATTTAAAAATATATTTAAATAGTTTGTTTAAATTTTTAACATTATTACTTAAAAAATATAAAAAATAATAATTTAATAATCTTTCAAAATAAAAATGCTTTTAAAAAAATTTAAAAAAAATTAGTACATTTCAAATGAGTTCTTAGAAGAATAATATATTTTATTTTAAAATATATTTTTTATCAAATCAACACATTTTTAATTTTTTAAAATTATAATTTAAATTAACTCCTCAACTCGAAATTTTATAGTATTTCAATAGTAACTAGTGATATTTTATTATTTATTTTTTATACTATATTTTAGATAAATAAATTTTATAGTGATTTAGAAGGTATGGTTTTAGTTACTTTGGGGGTTGTACTTTAAATAAAAAAAATATCATGAGGAAATATTTTTATTATTTTATATGAGTTACGAATTTTATTTTTTATCCTTGTATTTATTTAAAAAAAAACTGATAAAATATAGTATTATAAAAGTATTCACCGCAGCCTATATTCTGAACAAGTAGGTACTAAATAGCCGAAGGGACAAGCCAATAATCATAAATCTCGAAGAAAAAGAAAACAAAAGGATAAATTCAATAATAAATCATTATATTGAGAAACGGCAAAGCTTACTCCGGGGATTTTGATTGAGGTTTGACCAACCTGGAGATGGATACAAGACACAGTGTAAACACGGAGACAAAAGCTTATTTGATAAAAATTCAAAAACTCCATTATTCAAATCTTTATCATCAATAGATGAACAGAGTAAAAAAAAACTGAAAATTGTATTTCATTAGTCCTTTTGATTTTGTGACGAGATAATCTTTCAATAATTTTTGCCTCGTTCTTCTCCGCGGTGAAGACATTGTACCGTACACAGTAAGAAGATTTTTTTTGGAGGGGAAAGAAAAAAAAAATCTAGAGATATTGATCTATGATATTTTCAACAATACAGATAATTTTATAATTAGAGTTTTGATATACATCTAATATATATTTTTATTGTGATAATTTATTTATTAATTTATTTAAAATATGGTGTTTTTATTGATAATAACTTCAAAATGTCACGTATTACATGTATTAAATTGTGTTATATTATTATATAAAAAAATTATATTACTTGGCTATTTTTTAAAAAAATAAACTTTGGCTTTAAGCTTTAAGCATCTCACTAGCAAAATAAGATATATTCACAGCCACAACCCACAGAATGACTATAGTCTACAACATGAAGTCATGAACAAACCTAGGAGAAATCTAGATATTATTTTTATGAAGTCTTTGTTGATGATTATTTTTTATTTTCACTCAATGAGAGAAAATATTTATCCACTTTATCGCACCTTGACAGATGTTGGTCGAGGACTCCTAACATTGAAAAGGAAAAGATATATCGAGAAAAATTAGAAGTTGTTATCTAATAATGAGAAGTAACTATGAATCTTTTTATAAATTAAACATGATTTCAGAGATTTAGACATTAAATCAGTTATATCTAAATAAAAAATAATATCATTTTTATCATATTTTTTCTTGTAAAATGTTATATTTACCATGTGTTTTCTCTTAAATATAGATTTTTTATTATCATTAATTATTATAATTATTTTAAAATAAAATTTCTTTTATTTTTGATTTTTTTTTAGAGAAATTTAGCATCAATACCTAAAAATAAAAGTCTTGTTGTTTTGGTTACTAGTAAAAAAACAAATTTTAACGCAGGTTATTTTAAAATCAGACTTGTTATTTTAGTTATATATATATATATATACAAAAGCGACACTTGATCCTCTAAAAAAAGATGTATCTTTCACAAGGTTGTGACTTCGTCCTCTTAAAACAAAAACTTGTCATCTAAGCCACTTCTAAAATGGGTACGAAACCAATGAGATTGGTAAAAGTGAGAATGGGCTTTGGCCCATTTAATGTAATTAATTTTCTGAAATATGCTTAAAAATTTTCATTCTTATATAACGGACTTCGAAGAAATTAATTTGACATTGCTTGATTGAAAGATCTAAAATTAATTGATGGATTGCTTGATTTGAATGGATTTTGGATATAATTGGACAAAATAATTGGACTAAAATGGAACTAAATTGAAAACAATTGGACTAAAAATATGAACGAATGGGTTGAATCAAATTAATTTAACTCATTTGGACTTAATTGGATTGGAATAAGTTGATTTTAATGAAACAAAAAGGACTGAAACAAAGTTATATAAAAAAGTTAATTGGTCCTTGGAATATTCCCTCATTTTCATTTTAGACTCATTTTATTTTGAATTTCATTCTATTAGGATTTTCAATCTTGCTGATCTTTCCAACACAATCTCTTTTAATTTATTAATTGATTTTTAAATTTATGCAATTTCATATGAATTTTCCCCTAATTCTTTTTTTTTCCAACTACATCCATAATTAAATAAATTTAGACCATGAGATTTAACCAATTATTGCAAATTCATCACTTATTTAAAAAACTTTTACAATTTTAACTAACTAATTTTCAGTATTAATTTTTTATTTCAATTAAACCCTTAATTAATTTATTATCCGGCTATTTCTTACAAATTAATTTTTCATTATTGAAATTCATATTTCTTTCAAATTTAGCGCAATTAAATCAAATTAAGCTATTTTTCTCAATTTTCTCTTCAATCCAAATCTCAATTATGATAAGAAAATTCTCAAACTTTATTTTTGCATGCAATACTTAATTACTAGTACAATTTCAACCCTAGTTATGTTTTTTATTTTTGTGTTTTCTTATTTTTTCAATATTTTTGTATTTCTAATGATTTTCTTTGTTTTTCAACATAAAAAAATAAATAAAAGTAACGAAAACAACTAAATTTGTTGAAAAGACCTAGTTTTAGACTTTTCTATTTTTTTGTATTCCTTTTTAAATATGTACAAAAATAAAAAAAATGAATAACGACACATCTTATCCAAATAAAATTAGAATTGCCACTTCATAAAGCAAACACTTTTTTTTTTTCGTTTTCTTTGACATTTTCTTGCATTCTCACCACACAGTGGCATGGTGACATGGCTCGCCGTGAAATTTTGATAGTGGATAAGGGCTGAAAGCTAGGCACCTTGCGTGTCATGAAATAAGTGGCAGGAGATGCTTATGGTGAGTGAGACCGCCACTTGTCAACATGACATGACACAGTGTGGAAAACTTGGAGCTTTGCCGATGGACGAGGAAACCAAACGTTTTTAATGCTGACTCGTACCAATTGTGTTCTGGATAAGCTTCATGTCACTTCAAAGGACAACATGTTCAGAAAGGTCTCTGAGGCAGCAAGTAAAGAGAACTCTATTTGGTATAGTCGCGGGAGAGAGAACAGAGGATCAATGACAACCATATGTTCGTTTTCGTCTCCGTTTTTTCAGGTTTACATTCGTCAGCACAAAAAGGACCACAGCCACCTCACCCCTCCTCAAGAAGAGGCCCCATCTCCGTCCAATGTGGAAAACTCAACGAGATGACCAATGTCGATAAGGAGGAGGAGGAGGAGGAAGAAACCCCACTATGAACCAGCTATATCCAGAATACCTATCCATAAATCTTGGTCCCTAAAGACTGGTTCCTCGAATTCAACGGCTAAGATTCTTCCCAAAAAATCATTATGCAAAAGATTATCGGAGTGTTAGTTTTATTCTTCTAATCCATTGAAGAACTCCTGATCTCAAATGATAGATTTATAGATTTAAGATGACCATACAGTTGAAATTTGGCAAATCGTGTCCTCGTGGATTCCATTGAATATAAATTTGTTCCTTTTGCAGAGTTTGTATACATACATGCATGGTAAGATAGAGCGTCGAATGAAGCTCTTCCGCATCTTAACAGCACAACATGCATCACTGAGCACCGACATGATGAGAAGACTTCAATGTTGCGCTAGAACAGATTCTTGACAGCCACCCATTAGAATTTGCACTGCTGTGTTAGTGGAAACCGCCACAAGATGGTTTAACGTGGGGAAATCCGTGATGAATTCATGTTCTGGGGAGATAAGGCTTTACTGATTCTACAACCACCTGCAAGACATGACAAGCAATTTTAATGATTAGACTGTGAACAAATGTCTGAATGAGTTTCTCCATGCCATCTAACTTTCAAAGTGTTGTATTAGTGGGTTTGGTTTATTACACCACGCCATCTAACTTTTGTATTAGTGGGTTTGGTTTATTACACCCTTAGCAAGAGAACATGGACTCTGCAAATGCAATTCAAATTGAAGCTTCTAATAGTAATACAAGTAACGTTGTGTAGTACTCAAACCAATAATTAACTTGGCAGCCTTGGCCAGGAAGATGGAAGGTGCATGGCTTTTGCAATAAGAGGCTATGCATCAGTGCTAAAATTCTTTTCTCCGAATAAAATGAGTGACACTTCCTAATGTTTCTTGCTATGGTAAATAATTAGTGACCTTACCCTCCCATCATAGGATAAAGATGCAAAAATCCAAGGTTCCCGAGAACTCCAAGCAAGCCCTATTATCACAGGTTACTGGTCAGTTAAGAGTTTAAAATTTACAGTTTAAAGATAACATATGGCTTCATTTGTTACCATAGACACTGTCTTCATAGTCATTGAATGAGTACAGCAACGGATCGAGTTTCTGAGTTGGTGACGCAACCACACTACTAAATACAACCACATTGATGAGATTATCAGGACCAAGAAGAGTGAAAATGTCAAGTAAGACATCTGGTAAACAAATAAGAAAATGACCTTCCAGATGTGAACTCATCACTGCTTGTAGAAGCGAACCAAAAATTGACAGTCGAGTCTGTACCACCACTCTGCAAGAACTCACCTCTGATCAGGAAAATGCTAATAAATAACATAGATAGAAGAAATGGTAATTTGTTTTGTTAAAAGTAACAGTCATCCAGACAATGAATGACTTCAAATGGAATGATATTTCTCCCACTGCCTTATTCATAAGGCATATAATAGAAGATACATAACGGCCAAGAAACAGTGATAATTGTGACCAGTGCTTTATACTCGCCATATGCCATAAGCAATGTCCCTTTGAGAAAGCACATTCTTCCCAGAAATAAAAACATGACACAGAAAAGGTTGCTTAACTTTCCACCTATGAACTCAATTGTATTTTGACATTTTAGACAAACGGTGCTCTTTAGTGATTAATCTATGGCAGAAGACATTATGGAAAAAAAAGATGGTGCAAGTGTATGCGCTCGTGTGTGGAAGGCAGGGGGGATGAGAGAGAGAGAGAGAGAGAGACCAGAATCAGTCCTTCATATTCAGGGTTACATGTGACAGCGCATGTCCTGCCAAAATTTGGAAACAGTGAAAGAATCTTATTACACTGGAGGAGGAGCAAATACAAAACATCAAACTTGATTAAATAAGAACATATGATGCACATGCAATAAGATGACCAGAATAGCTCATCAGAACTGTGACATGGAAGAAATGGATTACCAATGTGAATGTCCACGAAGCTCATTTATAGGAACCTTTGGCATTCTAAGATCCCATATGTGTATCCCAGATTCATCCTCTGCAGTAACCTGTAATGATTAATTCATTAATGCCAATAGATCTCCATAGTCAGCAGTATCATAGCCAAAGAACAGCATTATTCAACAAGAATATTTTGACAGATATTGAAGTTCATGAAGTGTCACGAGAAAGTTAAGGATCTTTGTAACAGAACAGTATTCTTTGCATTTGAAGCTAATTTCAATCAGGTCCTTTCCCTGATGCCCTCCTTGGTAGTTTTCTCCACATTTAAACAAATCTCAAAAGGACAATGAAATAGTGTTTACACTTTTGACGCCCTCAACCACTCCAAAAAGCATATTTCCTTATTACTACAGACACATGATTATATATTGAAGCAGTGATGCACTTCTAGAGGTAAACAGAGTTACAAGGTAACACTTACCAGTATATGCATCTTCCTGGTGTCATAGTCGACGTCGCGCACATGGCCACACTCAATAGAGCTTGTTTTCCTGTAAACACATAAATCAAATTGTTAACCATGATCGAAATGCATCGTCTAATGGCAAGACACCATCCATTTTGCAGTTCCAGAAAAACCATTTAAAATTTTGTAAAAAAGAAGAAGTCAGATTCTCAACAACCAATGTAGAGATCTGTGCACAAAGCTAAACTAGAAGGCAACAACCTATTATTCAAATAAAAAAAAATCTTAGAACTTATTCATTTGTGTTTAAGTCTAATAAAAGTTAACGAGGTAAACTCTCCAGCTCAAGACTTGGAATGCTAGTTATAATGAATGGATTTTTAAAAGAAATGGGAAAAGATGTGCAGAACTATCATACTTCATTGTCCGTAAATCCCAAAACTGGACAGAGGATTCACAAGTTGCTGCAACAGCATTCACATCATGTGGATCCCAGGCTCCACCAGATAAGTAATGAAGCATACCTGCTGACTCCTTCGATTGCACCTGGATTTTTCAGTAATATATGAATAAGGATCAGTATAAGAAATCAAGAGTGAATTGTAACAGATTTGCACATTTCCACTTTACTAGTTTATCTTATCCACAGTCACCATACAATGACAAAATTGTATCTTCCAAAACACCAATTTCCATCATTTTTACATGGAAATGATTGTGCGACTATCTATATCATCATAAACACAAACACCAGAAACATAACTATGCTAGATATACAGTATAACTTCTACCTGGGCTGCTTTTCTCGAACAATCTAAACTCCATAAGAAAAGATTTTCGTCATCAATGCTTATCAACTTATCATTTCTTCCAGATGGCCACCAGAGAATGCTGTTGGGTACCCACATATGGCAAGAAAGACAAAGGCAACCATGTAAGGATCCAAATATCCACAATTTATGAACAAAACACAAAAATTCGTCACCATAAAATACACACACACACACACACACAAAATCAAACAAACAAGAGATAGATAAATTAACACTACAAACTCACCAATTAACCTTCCCAACATGTCCATCAAGAGACGCAATCCTTTCCAATTGCGGAGAATTTAATTGGCCATATAACTCAGGAATCTGCCACACCGCGGCTCCAAATGACTCACCTTCAATCACAAAGACAGAATCCCGTCAACCACTCTAATTCAGCTCACATACTAATTCTCTAATTGCAAGATTTAAGGCGCCCGGTGCCGGATTGTTATCGCATGATAAACAAATTACTGATTACGAATTCCATAATCAAACAAATCCAAGCAGATCGCAGCGAGTGATTTACCAGTAGAGAAAACAGTGGAGAAAATGCGTTGATCAAAAGGACAAGAAGAGAGATCCCAGATCTCATTAGGATGCGAAAACAACCCTTCACATATCAATTCAGTTCCACCTGAAGATAACCTAAGCAAATGCACCTATTCCACATTACAATTTCACTCATTAGATCCAATAAAATAGTCAACAAAACAATCAAAATGTAGCGCACAAGAGATTTGACCTCGTTTTCTTCTCTGAGACTGAGAGTTCCAGTGATGAAGCTGGTGTGATCCGTGTCTGCTTGCACATCTGATATGCACCTTGCCTGGAGGACATTGAATTTATGGAGCAAAACTAGGGTTAAAATTGAACAGATTTTATGGAAGAGAAGGAATTAGGGTTTGTAATTTTGACCTGATATTTGAGTCCATAGCCAATGCCCGATGATCCTCCTTGCATTTTTTTTTTTTCTTCTCACTTTACTTGAAGATGATGAAGCCAAGATCGAAGCAAGGGTATTGTATGGAATCTGTTAGTTTTTCTTTTATTTTTTCTCTCAATGTTAATGCTGGCCCATTAAGAAGAAACTATTGGAATCTTGATGATTCAAGGCCCATTTGTGATGTTTCGATTAGAAAAGCCCAAATGAAGGTGAGAGAGGCTAGCTTGCTCGCTCCAAATCACAAGGTATCCTTGCTCTTCAATTCATATTAAAAGTCGAAAAAAAATTCATATAAAAGTAATAAAAGGTTCAAATTTCAAGCTTTTAAAATTACTATTTTCCCCGTTAACGTAATTTAAAGTAGCCTCTCGACAAGTCAACCCATGGTATGATTTTTTTAATAAAAATAAAAAAACAGTGCTTTCAATTAAAAAAATATTAATTTAAAGTAAATATGGTTTTGGATTGACAAATCACCGGGTTTGATGCACCAAACCAAATTAGATTTTATAGCTAGAGTTATCACTTACGGCCACATGTTTTTATGACTTGTGAGGGAGAAATTAAAACTCCATGAAAATATAATCCAATCTGCCCTCTCTCCATATGTGGAAACTATCAACTACGGGTTTGGTTAATGATCTAAATAGCAGGAACTGAAGGCAGCATGCACTCCAATGGACTATTCTTCCTCTTCTAATACTGTGACTAAGGTAGAGCTGTGGGACTTTAGCCCCCAACGATAGAGACAAGTCAGAGAATATTTAGAAGAGGAAGAACGAATTCGATGATATTGTGACTGAAGACATCTTGGTCATGCATTCGATGACCTGGGAAGAATCAGCATCCAAGATCAGAGTTGTGTACATGTGTGACTTTGTATCCCCTTCAAACGGAAACATCAGTAGAGAGCAGCTAGGATGTTTCTAGCGGTTTCCCAGATGGCAAGCAACTTCATCAATTAACTTAACTAACAAAATCTTCAATATTTCTAGTTTTTACAACACTCTCCAACCACCAGCAGTGACTGCAGTCCAAAGAAAATATGTAAGGCAAAAGAAAAAAAAAACCCTAAGCAATGTACATGGGCGTGACCTATCAGCTTGGCGTTCAGTGATCTCACTTGTAAAACACTAAAATGGCCGGCCTTGAAGAAAAGTTACCAAAGGGGCAGAAAGAGATGGAATAAAGTTCTTCGACTGTGACAAACAATTTTTTTTTTCCTTTTTTTTGTTTCCCCCTCGGGAAGAGGACTAGTTTACAATCTCTCATCAACTGTTGAACAATCAGTGGGGCGTTAACCATCAATCTAGCAAAACTTCAGACTTAAAAGACTCAACTCCAACTCTGTCTTCAGACCCATTTCCTGAATTTCACTGCATAGAGGCTGAACTCTAAAGACTCATGAAAGATCCAATGTGCAACTCAAGGATCACAACTTCCGGATATGATGCTCACAACACCTCAGTCATAAATAACTCAATAAAAAAGCTGTGTCGTATCTTGATATCAGGGCATTGTGGGGGGCTCTATCCTGGAAGTTTTATATACAGCAGGTCGGGTATAGGCAGCATGATCTTCAAACACTCAACAGAATAATTGTTAAGCATGGTGGAGAACCCAAGGTAGCTCTGTCTAGTCTGAAAGAATTTCTTCCAACTCAGGTTCTTCATTGGTCAATTCATCATAATCCATACCGGTTTCATTGAACTGACCTGTCTCTTGAGGATCATCTTGGTCTCCATCATCATCAGGATCAGGCAATTCTGGCTCATCATCAACATTCTGATAGTCACTTGGTATATCATCTCCCAGTGCGTCATACCCCTTCCCATATTTTCTAGGTCCTGAGTTTTTCTTTGCCTTGGCTTCAGAATCTTCACAAATGCAGGTGTGTGGGTTCTCATGAAACTCTCCCCTGCCTGGCCTCACTTCTTTTGGCTCCCCCATGAAGCCCCTCTGGAAAGTACGCATTTTAGAGGCAAATGCTTCCCATGACATGGTAGTTTGGTTCAAGAACAATCTATACAATTTTTTAGCATTTGGACGAATGGTAGGTTTGTGTCCAAAATATCTCCTGCAATTTAAGAACATCTAAATTAGTCCCCATTGACACAGAAAAAGTCAAAAAAGAATATAGAAAAGAGAAGGAAAGGTTAACTACCTTCGTCCAGCTAATATTTTAGCCATATTACCATTGTTGTTGGTAACAAACACATCACTTTCATCGCAAACAATGAAGTCAAGTGCAGCCATTCTTGAAGAAAATGAAGAAAATGGTTCCAGCTCCTCCTTGCTAGCTAAAGTCTCTTTAGTATAGAAGTTGGGGAAGAGTGCTTTTAAGGGTGCCAATGTATCTTCCCCATCATACACTTCTCCAGATGCCACATAAATATGAACATCACTTCCATAACCCAGTGCTCTCAACATAAGGCCAACTTCTTTTGGAGTTAGCGGGCACTTTCCATGCCTCCTTTCCTTATCAGGGTTACTTGCCTGCAAATGTATAAGCACATTAGATGCTCCAGATCTGGAGTACAAACATGCATGATGGAAGCCAAATGAATTCACAGGGAAGTGAAAATCACTTGGATTCAGATTCAGCACTAAATCAAATTTTGTGCTCCTTATAGTGACAGTCTTAGAAGAATTTCAAAATGCTTCAGAAATAAATAACTTCTATTACAACTGAGCTTCATGCTGTCAATATTCTGAAGCTTAAGAAGATGATTTTTTTAATAAATAGATCACAGAAGAGAACATCACTTGAGCCCTACATGTAAAGTTTTCCACCTCTTCCTTATTGCACCAAGTTCCTTCCTTTCCTTGTCACCTCCACCATAATAGCATCCAGAGAATGCCAGCATATCAGGTTCAAACCTATAGCAAGAAACATTTGGCTGCTTCAGAAAAACTTATCATGCTTGTCCTTAAATTATGCTTCCTGAATTTAGAAGTCATCGATTGGAAATTGAAAATCCAATGAAAATAGGCTTCCCATTATGCATGCATAACCTCCAATCCAGAAACTGAATTTCCGTGGCACGGTCAACAACACACTTGACCTTAGGCCAATCACCCAATCATTAAAATGTAATCAATGCTCTGAAACAGTCATGTTCTTATTTACTATTTAACAAGAGTAAACAAGTTAGACACGCTTTTATGTATTTAAGTCTCACAAAGCAATATGTATCCCCTATCAAGCAAGGGTGTGACGGTGTGAATGACTTGATTAGGAGCTTAAGCTGAATAGCTTAAACTATGAGCTCAAAATATGCATGCTACATCTGTATACCCTATCAAGCAAGGGTGTGACAGTGTGAATTAAGCTGAATAGCTTCAACTATGAGCTCAAAATATGCATGCTACAGGTTTAATCAATAAATCCAGGAAATATAAAGAAACAAGTTAATATTCTCGTATTAAATGGACATGCATGCTTCAATTAAATAATATAGTAACAACCAGAAGACTGATACTAAACTGTAAAATTAAGATAGTTTCCCATCCATCACCATTGATCAGATTAGTGGGGCCCACGTGGATCTTATAAGAGGGTCAATTGGCTCCACTGATCAGGGCAGTAGGGGAAACACTTCAAATAGCAGGTTTAGTATTTTTCTAAAAAGAAATATAGCCAGTTTTATCAGAAAATGAATTAGACTACCTCAGGTGCAAGGCAATGAAATGCTTGCTTTTCATCCGCATTCGATGGACCAATTTCTCACCCATTCGAAGAATAGGATCTGTAAACTTTAAAGCATGGTAATTGACTCTACATCTCAACTTTTGCAATTGTGTATCCAACTTATTTGCGAGTCTATAATCAAACTTTGTGAGCTGAATTGCCTGTCACAAAATTAAGTCCAGGAAGTCAAGTCATTCTTAAAATAAGCAGAAAATACAACACAGAAAGAAAGTGCATTAAATAAAGGTACATATCCTAATCAACATTGCACCAAAAACATTATAGATCCATAAGGAGTCTCACAAGTATACTACTTAAAACAAACAAAATTATTGCCTTCACAGTTTGATCAAAGAAAAGTTTGTCAGATGTTGTGCTATTGAATTTCCTCTACAATGTCCACACAATTCAAGTCACCACATGAGCACGTCCCCCTAACTTGGTTAATGATTCATATGACCTAACAGACAATTTTTATCCTGAACCTATCGGATCTAAAGGTCAGCAATTAGGATGTTATTACCGATTAAACATGACTAATTTGGCAAACTATCAGCATGGTTGCAAGACCAGAGATATAAGGAAACAAACAGAACTCTCCCAACTTAATTTTGCATGGCTAGATATCATACTATACAAAAAGAAGGTTGCAGAGAAACGAGCGAACTTACATGCCTTTTTAAAAGAACAGGGCAATCAATCAGAAGGTTGCAGAGAAACGAGAGAACTTACATGCCTTTTTAAAAGAACAGGTAATACACGATTTAGATAACATCTCTCACTACACTTCCTTGGAACACGCATATTATGCGGAATCCAAGTTTTCCCTCTCCTTCTTGGGAGAGATTTAATGATTTTGACATCATTTGCCAGAGAGGAAATATACCAATCAACATCAAAAATCTCTGAAAAATCACTGCATTAGAGAAAATAAAATAACAGTTATCTTATATCACAACACAAGTCTCTACTGATCATTGCAAGAAGATCCCAATTAAAGGTTTCAGTTATGCTCATTCAATAACGAACCTTGAATCTTTCCAAAAAGACTTCTGGTCTAGTTTTGGAACAACAAGAGTAGCATTCAAAATACGAGCAGCAACAACAGCATCTGTAATCTGCAAACATGTTTGGTGAAACATCAATGCTAACAGAAAATATTAATCAAAACATGACCTGCAAGTCAGTTGAGAAAATAAACATCCATGTAAGAGCATCACTCAATCCTGATATTGCAGTTAGTGTAAATGAAAATAAATACCTTACAGAGACTAAGCAAATCAGACTGTTTCCCTAATGCTATGTTAATACATGAACATACACAAACATATTTGTAAAGACGCCTTTCAAGGAATGTCAATCTAGTAATAGCCACTGTTTAAAGTTCACTGATCAC